TGTGGATCAGCCCCCGATACACTAGGATCTGTTAGTACTTATAGGTTTTTCGAGCTATATTTTCTCCCTTTAAACATTCATTCTTCCGGTCACCCTTATACGAAACGTTATAACCTTATACCTAGCAGAGCTTAATCAAAATATCTATTAACCCGAGCCGAGAATCCCAGCGTATAGATAGGGAACCTCTTCGCTTAAGCGCCGAGGATTTATATGCCTAGTTATATCTTCGTCTCTTTATCCTGCTAGAGAAACGGCTACTCTCTACTCTTAAACTACTACGGTCTTATAGGATTGTTTATAGGTAGATATAAACCTTACGCGACTTCTCTAAATTCTTCTTATTAGCGATCTTAAAGCGGAAGGCCTTAGCTCCCTATTCGGAAAACGCAAATCGCATATATTAGAGGCCGACTAGGTCGGATGCACTATCCGCTAGACTAATATTATCCTATCCCGAATATATAAATCAAAACGGCAAACCGATAGTAACTATTATATCCGGGTGGATAAGGACTAGGCATTATTGCAATTACCAGAAGAAGATCATGACTTTATCGTAGCTAGTCTTCCGCGGCAGCTTATTAATCCTTATTTATATCCTTGCGAGGTAGTAATAGAAATCCATATTATCAAATTGACTCGATCGTAAATAGCGTCCGGGAGAGATCTTACCTTATAATATCTATACAGTTCACGTTTCTTTATTAATATTATAACAAAAGTACTTAACGTTCGGGCTTCGGGAAAATATTTCGGGCGAATATAGTCGAATTAGCTCTGAAACGCCTATTACATCGAAGAATATAGATAGATCTCTAAGAGCTAAATAAAGTAAGAAAACAAAAGGTAGGCTTAGTCCTTATTAGATAGTTCTATAAGAGGCACTAATAACCTCCTCTAGCCAAAACCACATCTAGACTCTTAACGAGGCTAGGGATTTACCTAGATAGTTCGAGTAACATCGGAACCTATCTAAGAAAGAAATTAAGGAATAGTACTTACTGTTCTCGGGCTAGGATCGAAGCTTTGCCTCCTTATAAGCACAGCTCTATAAATAAGAATTTAGCTACTTATAGAATAAAAAGCTAATCCTTCGCATAGATAGTATACCACCTCCTAGGTATCTCCTCCCGCTCCGAGACCCCGCCACTAGTGACGTTACACTTTATGGCAATAGGTATAAATTCTATATCGCTCTAGCTATTCTAACTATAGTCTTCGGGGACTTAGACGATAGAGAATAAATTTAAGTTCGGGGCCTCCCTAGGGCGAGAGTCCTAAGAAGGTAGATTCTTATCAGAGGAAGCAGAAATTCATCCTAAACTATCTATTAAGCCGAATTACTCGTGCTCGACAGTCATCAAACTAGGCAGCTATGGGTATAGATCTACTGTTTAAGAGGCCCCGGCATAGGCGAACGAAGTAGTTAGTCAAGGTAATGCGGCTCTTATAATGGTCCCCCCAAATCTCTATTCCTCCATCTCCTAGCCAATTAAGCGCGAGGCAGAGTGTGAATGTATACCTAAGCTATAAGAAACATAGTTAGGTGAGAGGTCCCATAATAGATTTAAATTCCATACTAAGCACCAGTTAGATCGCACGAATAGTGTAGAACCTTTACTGATCTACATCTAGACCTAGCAGAGCCAGCGGACTGTTCTAGCTTGAGTTCCTAGTCGCCCGTGCGATCAAATTTGGATAAACCTATGCGAGGCCACTCAAGATGTTAGGTTCCAGCCGAGCTAACGAAGGAAGTATATACGTGCCATTCTCGAAATGATTGTCAGAATTCTAAGAGTGATTACAAGGGAGCCCAGCACCCAGCCCAAATTAAACCTCAGACGCATCTTGCTGTGTTATTACCGTTCACGGTCCAGATGGAAACCTTGGGATTTTGTTCTTTTATGGCATGGAAGGGACGTTTGTTATAGACAAGGCGCTCGGAAAGGACATTGTCTTTGTCCTCTGTAGAAGTATATTGGCGTATTGACTTTAGGTGGGAATTTCCGAGTTCAATATATATTCTGAAGCTATATGCTGGAGGTTGAAAAAGTGTAAATTGAACTTGCTCTTATTAGGCTGCCCATCAATATTTACAAAGCCTAGAAGAACAAAGGGAACGATACGCCACAGCGAAATTAAACAACTACCCTTCAAGGGTGGTGCAGCCTGTTTATACAATTTATTCTTCTAGGCAAAGTTAACGTATACATTATAAGCGCAGTGTTGTACACCTATCGAGATAAAAAGCACACTGGCTTACCCAGTTTCTCATATATCATACACAAATATCCTAGCAGAGTAGGTTTGGAGATAGAACTGCAATTCCTTCAAGAGAACCGGACATTACATTCAAGGAAAACGACAAAGGAAATTGGAACATCCATCGCAACAAGCGTTTATCTTCTCTTCCATGTCTTAGCCGCTGTCGAACTCTAAAAGTCTTCCGGAATTGCACGAGGGACTGAATTTTGGTGATCAGCTGGATTGCTGGCATCCTGAGATATCCTTACGTAATATAATGCGATGAAATCGAGATCTAGATTGAGCTGGGATGTAATAACCTCGGGTGTGCCATCTTGGCATGGCGGTATCGAATCAAAATGCATCACTAGCCTCCTCAAGTCATGAAAGTAAACCTGACACCGGTTTAAAGGATTCGATTTACTTTACGAGCACTTGTGCCATGTTTCTCATCTGACCTCAACAAGGCTTAGCGTAGCAACGTTACGGTTGCATAATGACCTTACGCTTGTGATCCGCAGTAGAACTAGGCAGATATAACCCTAGAACGTTCTGACTCACAGTAACCAGTCGGCTTCACGTAACTTTTTTTACATTCGTGTCTAGACACTATTCTATAATTAATATAGGATTCAACTACAGGAGCTCACAAGCCTCAACGAACTATACACTTTTGTTATCGTTACGGAGACAGCGCTTTGAATAAGTTTCCGAGCGGCAACAATGGACGAAGTTTACTACTCTACGCAACACACCCGTTCATGTGTGCAGTAACTGCCAGATTCTTTATCATTTGAATGAATAGTTCAATCTAAAATTATCGAATTTTATCACGTTTATATTCCAATCAGGAGGGGTGATAGACAGGAATCCAGCAATTCCTGCAGCCCGTGCGGATCTCGATCTTCAGATTAGAACCAACATACAACAGTGTCAAAGCCTCAAACCCCAAACAAAACATTGCGAAACACAATTTATTTGACAGCGTTAAAAAAGTACATTATCACCATTTCTGAGCGTCGAAGGCTTTCGAATATTGGCTGCTAGCAGAATGTGACTTTCAGATCTGTCTGAACGTCGCAAGCCTTGGTGGCAAAATTGTCAGTTGGCTGGTAATATGTCGATTCACATCGATATATTTGCTTCGGACAATCAATCTTTGGACACCAAGAGAGGCTAGGCTCAACTCGGACACTATATTCGGCATTGGACGGGTCATTTATCTTTGAAAGATCATAGTAGATCATATCAAGCGGGCCACAATCAGGGTTGCTTTCGTTCCCGAAACAAGCGCTGTACTCTATTTGGGTAACTTTAGAGCTTCTCCATTCAGTCGAGACCTTGATGGAGCTCCCTATAAGGTCCTGGGTGAGGCGGAATCGATCCGAAAAGGTCTGTTTGGGCCGAATCTCTGTGTCGAAGTATGTGGACCTTGCCACCCCTTCAACGTATAAAGGAAACGAGCAATTGTTATATAAAACAACACTGCCTTTCCGATTGCCATCAAGGCTAGCAGCTAGGTCTAAAAAAAGCAAAGCATTCAATGCGCACAAAGGTAATCTGCGTAAATGCATTGTGGTCACTATGTTTTGGCTTCGGACAGTGGGGTCGTTCATACATATTATAATCATTTTCATGAACCTCAAGAACCGTTTTTCCTTCTCAGATTATTCCACGATCAATCTAAAGAGCCTCGGGTGTTTGAATAATATACCAGCAGCTGTGTGTTGACAGTTTAGTAAATGATTTTGGTTTGAGGGAGCCGAGATGAATAAAATTCGAATGTTGTCGATTGCCAACGAGGGGTCCCTCTACCGTCAGAGCTAGCCTTTCTAGTATCTTACAACCTTTTCGCGTTTTATTCAATCTAGACCTCGAATAACCTGGTCAGTCATTTGTTGAACCAATACAACAGCAGCACACCTTAATCATATAGGCTAGAAAGACATCTAATGACAATAGAACCCCAACCATGTTGCTGTGAAAATGCCCTCCCGAGACTTGCGGGCATGCCAGAATTCTGCAGATTGCCTTTATCATATCCTTCCAACGGATATCTGCATTGTTTGTGGTCTATCCCGCCAGTGTCCGTCTAATCGTCCGCACAAATTCCGGCTAAGCGAAAAGATTCTCCCCGTCGCCATCTCATTGATTCTTATCTTGTCCGTACATATGACGGAATATGCTGCATCTGGAAGGCCTGTTGCAATTTTTCTAACCCCCATCCCGGTCACATGAAATGCCCTGTGTGGTGAAACGTCCACCAGGTACCTGCACATTGGAGGTTCGTCACTGTCAATACACACCTTGAATATTGCCTGAAAGCTGCACAAAAATCAATCATCGCTTGCTTTATTGATAGCTCTTTTCAAACACGGATTACAAAATGTTAGCGTGGGGAATTACAGACCGAGACGCACTGCTAGAAAGTCCGCTGTTGACTACTATCACGCCAAGATCATCAACCAAAACGCCTGAGATGGGTAAGAAAGGTGATGTTGCATCCTTTCGTCTCCCTTTCGCCCAAAATTGATTTCTGAACTTATCATAATCCTATTGCTTTGGAGAATACCAATTCTGGTGAAAGTCTTGGCACCAGAAAGGTACGTGAAGCAAAAAGTACGGAGGTACTCATAATGCCAATACACACGAAAAAAACAAATACGTAACGTGTTGTATGAAAGATACTAGCGCCGCTAAGCGAACAGCCACACCTAAAGGTGTCCGCAGGGTGGGGATGGCCTGTTAACCTACAATGGAACATGAGTCTGGTGGAAGTAATTTAAGCTCAGGACCGCATCGACCTATGAGACGCAGAATTAAGAAGCCTCTTCATGTTCCTGTGTTGATCGAAAACGTCTGAAGAACATCGAGACTGATCGCAGTATCAAATTGCTCACGTACAAACATCTTATGTCGTGCTTCTAGCGCCCGTGAATACACCGCTTCCGCTTGTGAGATTTCCCTTGGCTGGCGAGCACTGAGCCATGGTTATTAACACTAGTGACCGTGTGGGTATATCGGGTCTCGGGTCCAAGCACCTTCTCTCGTGCTTCCAGCGCCCGTCGATGCATCGCTTCCGCCTCTTCATATTTCCCTTGCCTGTCAAACACTAAGCCCAGGTTATTGACACTGGTGAGCGTGTCGGGATGCTCGCGCCCGAGCACCTTCTCATATCCCTCTAATGCCCGTCGATGCATCGCTTCCGCCTCTTCATATTTCCCTTGCTTGGAGAGCGCTAAGCCAAGATTACTGACACTGGTGAGCGTGTCAGGATGCTCGCGCCCGAGCACCTTCTCCTGTGTTGCCAACGCCCATCGATGCATTGATTCTGTCTCTGCATAAGCTCCTTGAAGATTTAGAAACCACCCGAAATTGGACGAGAGCGTCACAGCATTTAATCGGTCTTCATCATCACCGTCACACACAGACTTCAGCACGCTTTTGGCATGCGCAAGGAGCGTTCGACATTGTGTCCAGGTTCCGTAGTTCCCATCTGGAAATACCCGTGCCATAATCGCTCGTGATTTGACCTGCCAGCCGTGAAGCTGCTGGTGCATGTCCAGCCACGCCCGGACCGATAATTGTACCAGCCGGTGCATGTTGACCAACCGTTCGTTCTTCTCTAGTCGGATCAGAGAATAGCTGAGCAGCGGCGCCAATGCATCATGAAAGTCCAGTTCATCTTGATCAGGGTCGCGCACCAGATCTTCGGGGATTCCTTGCCGATCGAACATACTCATTAACGCCAGGAGATCTGCCGCCGCGGGCCACTCCTGACGGATCTGATCAAACGATAGCTGCCACGTAGTGATCACCGCATACCGAATGCTGGGATCGCGCCGGAGATCCGCGGAATCTTCATTCTGAAGAAGCCGCGCCCGCTTCGACTCACTCTTATGGAAAAGCCGAAGGTATACGGCGACGGTGACCAGGGGCAACCGGTTGGCAATATAGGACCCCGCTTGAGTGATTACCAGTGGAATATATTCCAGTGCCTCGACCAGGGCCTTCTCGTCCCCTCCGGGCTCTCCAGTCTCTCCAGATTGGGATGCCGGAATCCTCGCCTGTAAAAGGGCGAGGGACTCTTCCTCGTTCATTGGCCGAACTTCAATCACATGACCGTCTCGCCCCACCAGATTCCGCGCCGCACGTCTATTGCGCGATGTGATCAGCATTGATCCATAAACGGCCTAGGGCAGGAAGCTCACCAGTGACCCTCGTTAATCGGATCTATTATCACTAAAAAAGATCCTATCGTCATCCGCATTATCTAACACCATCAGCCAGCGCCTATTACGTGCATCACACAACCACTGATACACCAGCTGGAGGATGTTTATCTTCGGATCGTCCCGTCCCGGAATCTCTGCGACCGCGGCAATCTGCTGGTAACCCTGTTCGAACCGTGCCGCATTACTAGCGTGGATCCAAAACACCTACGTGTCCGGTGTTAATTCTCGCATTTGATAAGAGTACTCGATAGCTGTCTGGGTTTTTCTGAATGATAATGAGATTAGTTGTTATTTAATAGACTTTTTCATAGGGATAGCTACCCAACACCGGCTAGTCCTACTAATGCTACCCGCTTATGACGCTGGCCGATCGCCCAATGTTTTTCTTTGATCGCACTGATTATAGTTTGGCGGCCCACAAACATTGGATCCTTCTTAAAAGGCACTGTGGAGCAGGACTAGGGCTTCTGATGCGTCTGCGCTGAAAACAGTTCTAGTTAGCTCGCGAATAAACCCCGGAGCTAGTTACCCACCAAACCGAGCCGCCACCACCGGGGGCGCGTTTTTTAAGAACTAGCGTAGTCTATCTAGCGCCGTTCGATACCCAGGCGTATCGCGCTTGTCGAATTTGACGATCATCGAGTGATCTGTATGCAGCGGTACCTTGTCTTCTACGTGGTCGGGGAGCTGGAGAAGCGCCGAATCTGCGCCTACCGTTGTTATATATTCCCCCGTGCGTGTCCATCGCCCGCTTTCTGAGTCCTATTGCGATTATCAATACATGCCAGAGCCTTTATCAGAAAAGGCCAAGACAATATACCAAAACTAAGCGCCGCGTCTGCTCCATCTCGTAGAAGCTTACCACCTTACGGTCCCGGATCAGATTTTTGAAATCGGCCAGTTGATGGATTAGGATATCTAAGTTGCTGGAAATCTATTACAGGAGTTGCTCTCGCGGATGGCTCTTATTCCCGGCTAGCATCTACTGGATATCGTCCATCACTAATCCTTTATGTGGGATGGCAAAGAGCATCATGCCGTACGTGGCGCGATGTAGCGACGTGATGGCCGGGTGGTCTTCATCCCTCGTCTGGATGGCCCTCACTAGGCACTATAAGGCGATGTCAGTGTACTATATCCAATATCTGTAATCGGACGGCGATCCTACGTGAGCCAAGATAATGCCTCCGAAGCTGTGTGCGATGAAGATCAGAGGTCTCTGCTGGAGCTGATCACGGAATCAGCCAAGCTTGCCAACGATAGACAACTCAGATAGCGTCTCCTACCTCCTTCGTGTTCCGAATCTTCTTGATTTCCTCTATTAGCTCCCGCCCGTAGTTGAGAATCGTATCGACTCCGTGGCTCGACAACTTCGAGTTATACCCGTAGATCATCGTGCGGCACTGCGGAAGATCCTTCGGTAAGAAGTCTCGGAGCCACATTCGACCGAGATTTCCTCGTCCCTACCATGATCCATACGTATGTCCGTCCAACCCGGCGATCGCAATGATGCTGTATTGTATGAGTTAGGATTTACCTTCAGGGTATAGATCGTGGCGCGGGTCCTTACTCGGCAGCCACTGGCTCATTCTCGTCCGGCGCGTAGAGCTGCGTAAATCCAAAGAAGTGGCAGTCAAAGTTGATGTCATCCTCTCCCATCTTAACCTGCCAGTCGCCAAGAGGGTTGATTCTTAGCTCCTGCAGGAATTGAGGCACTCCACCGCGAAATTGCACTAGCGCCACTCTCTGCGTGTCACTTTCATAGCATGAAGGCACGATTGTTATCTCGGCCTTGACCTGCGATCTCTCGTCGTGGGTAAAGTTGTCGTCGAGTACCCCTTGCAATGCGGTCTTGAGATCCCCGTCGGGCTGTTCCCTCGACAGGCCTGTCACCCGAAAGACGCGCGACTTTCTCTGGCTAGTCATCGTGATCCGCCTTCAGTGAAGTGGTACATCGGATGAGAGTGGGCTGATTCTCATTTGTTGATGGTTGTTAGCTTAGGCTTCCCGTGAGGCTGAATTTCCTAACAGGTGCGGGGTATCGAGCATGCACGAGGGTCATTGCTACAATACTATCGCTTCGTAGATTCTACAGTATACCAAATACAATTTCCTCTTAGGCCATTAATTAAAGAGAAAATGCCTCACCGCCATATACAGTACCAATCTGTCGATACTCTCTGAAGCCTATTTCTGACAGCAGCTTATTATCGTAACCTTAATTGACTGGCTTGGCACTCCTATGTAAGTTAAGTTACAAGACTTACAAGTCATACATACTCCGACATCACGTGATGTGATTCAAACAACGATCAGATCTGGTTTAGCTCGAGGCTAGCCACTTTAGAATTAGCTCCTTGTGAGAAAGGTTTACGTGAGCCTCCTCCAGGCGAACTGAAAAAAATTTAATTCTTCAATTTCCTGTTCCTCGGGGGATCCCGTAGACCCCGAATTCCACGTGATTGATGATCCAAGGCAGCAAGATGTGGGGTTCCACCAAAACCACCAAACCACCGTTTAATTCGAGTCTCGTCAAACGGTGTTGGTAAAAACTGCTCAACGATGAAATTGCTGGAACGGACGTACTGACTTTTGCTCAAACGTTGACGGTCAACCATCATGTTTTTTTATGACCGCCCGTGTTCCACTGATAATATTTACTTTGCCGCTTCTTGTTCAATAGTAAGAAGTCGCGCTATCTAAGGTCGGTTCTGAACGCTTCAGCTTATTTACTCGTGCTATAGTTCAAAGGCGGTTGATTAACAGCCATATTTGTCTTGCTTTCATCACTACATTTTGCGCCATTAAGTATGCTTAAATAACAGTGTTCAGATCGACACTTGATTTTCAACGGTCACACCTACGGCTTTTTTGGGCCAAATTATAGACACCATCACCTTTATTCGGCGAGTTTGCAGGAATGAGCTATGATTATTAAACACACGACGATCAATTCGGTCGGGCAAGAATAGAAGAGTATCAAGAATCTATAGTCAGGTCAGTTGACCATCCTCGGATACCGTTATTCATAGAGTGGTGACATTTCGTACAAAGATGCTATTGCTTTAAGGCTTCTCAAGATTTTGATGGAATTCATAGAGTCTGACCAGTGAAAGATGTTTCAAAGTGATCTCATTTAAGCTATGCGGTGAAAATGATAGAGTATCGATCAAAGATATAGTGGCAAATACTGGAATTCCGTTACTTATTGATATCCGTATAAGTTACGGTATTCAGTCAAATACCTTCTCGGGGTCTTAATGACTTTATTTCAAGTACAGAGGATTTCGAAAACAGATTACCCCCCGGACACACACGCTTTCTTTCCCAGCGCCCCATTAATATTGCGCTAAGCTAATTGTGGCTAAATGAGGCCCCCTCCCCGAAGTCTGACGCCAGATCATTGGCTGCAGGAGAATCTAGAACCCGGGCGATCCGGACTAGGTGCCGAAGTGGGTCTCTGGGAGAGTAAACGTGTGTGTCCGGGGGGTAATCTGTTTTCGAAATCTACTGTAGTAGAACCCATGCAGCAAGCATACTAGCTGAAATTACCGCCGATGTGTCCCGCCCGTCAACGTCAGAGGCGGACCTCGTACGCAGCCTGGTCGAGATCGACCGGGATCCCCGCATCAACCTTGTGGCGCCGGGCCAATAACAAGCCTTCTATCGTTGATAAAGCCGCCAATCAGCAGTACCTCACTCCGCAAGAGGAGCAAGCGCTAGTAGAATATGTGTTGCGGTTGGCGAACAACGGTTATCCGCTCCCTGTCAAGTTTCTCCGATCGCTCGCTCTGGTCATCGCGCAACAACGATCCTCGATTTTCCAAATCATAGATCCCAGCCTCGAGTCTCCCGGGTATAGAGCTTCACAGTAGCGTCATTGACTTTAGGCCTCTCATCTGACAGCCTTGATTTTTAAAACAATGCCATCTTCCTGCAAGAACTTCATCATCACAGACTACGGAGTCCAGAATTCTCGATTATGATGGAACACGCTGAGGTTATTCGACCGTTTCTATTTTCAGTTCGCCTGCTCCTATGGATATCCGCGGTAATCACTTTGGGCCTTACTGCCTGGGTGGTTGATCACCTGAAGGGCTATCGGGCCATCTTCACCCTAGTCATCGTGAGCACAGGAATCTTTTCTTGATACTCTCTTGCACTCTACTTGGATACGACTGACACTCTTCGCATAGGCGGTTCTCACAACAGTGTTTTATATACCGTCACTCTTCACCGCGTGCATGCGCCGCAACCGTGGTTATATGATTCCATTAGATATAGTCTTCTATGCACTGTATATCAGACCCTCTCTCCCTTATAACCAACAATCGTTGACGATAAGTCACTACCCTGCCAAAGAACATTAAGCTGATGACTCTCAAAACGCTATAGATGGCTATCGGCATTCATTTTGTTGCTCAAACCGATAACCTTGGTGATGGTGCTGGGTGTTCTTACTTCCTTTGGATCTCAGTACCAGTTGCAGGCGGAGGAATGCTATTGAAGCATGGACTTTCCTATCTTTGTGAGTTGTCACATCAGAACCTCCTCATCTTTCCCTTTCCAACTACGTGGACATACGTGCTCATTCATCCCCAAAGCTTCTGGACGTTCTGTGGTCTATGTTTGGAAACCCTCAATGTTTTTCTCGACAGTCGGCATTCTACGGTCGCCACTGTTAATCATCCCGAGAAATTGAGTTCATCGGGCCGTGGTGTTAGTAATGGAACTACTACAGCCCCTGGCGCCGAGCCTGCGCCAGCATTGAATGGTGAACACACTCAAGTTTAATATCAGCTATCCACGTCAACTTTCGCGCGGGGCCTTTGAGCTGTATGGCCAAAGACTAGCATATATGTCCTCGTGGGGCGGCTATCAGGTGAGAAGGCCACTGACCTAACCAGGCTCGAATGCCCTTAAAGAGTTTGTGTAAGTGCGCCCGTCGCTAGGTCCCAGAGGCAGACTGTCTTATCATCCGAGCCGGATGCTAGCAGGCGGCCGTCGGGCGAGAAAGCCACTGCTGATTACCTTGTATTTGCGACCCTGCACAAGATTGTCCTCCAAGTCTATGGAAGTATTATTCAAACTTAACACAACTGTGATTCCTCAAATATTAAATGATTAATTCTGCCTGGCAATTTCCAAAACCGAGAATCTCGTTGCAATATTAGCGCGACCATAAGTCTGTGCGCCTATGGGATCCAGCGTCGGGCGCACTCACACAGACTCTCAAAGGCCATTCGAGCCTGGTTAGGTCAGTGGCCTTCTCACCTGATAGCCGCCTGCTGGCATCCGGCTCGGATGATAAGACAGTCTGCCTCTGGGACCCAGTGACGGGCGCACTTACACAGACTGTCAACGGCCATTCCAAGTCTATTAGTTCAATCGCCTTCTCGCCTGACAGCCAGCTGCTGGCATGCGGCTCTCTTAGCGCTGTGTACCTCTGGAACCTAGCGACAGGGATACTCACACAGACCATTGAAGGCCATTCAGATGCGCTTTTGTCTGTAGCCTTCTCGCCTAACGGCCGTCTACTAGCATCCAGCTCTATTGATAATACTATACGCCTATGGGACCCAGCGACAGGTGTGCCACAGCAGACTATAGGCCATTCAGATATGGTTTGGTCACTGGCATTTTCGCCCGACGGCCGCCTCTTAGCATCCGGCTCTAATGACTGGACAGTGTGCCTCTGGGACCCAGCGACGGGCGCACTTACGCAGACTCTTAAAGGGCATTCCGATGCGGTTTGGTCAGTGGCTTTCTCGCCCGACGGCCGCGTGCTGGCATCTTGCTCTTTTGACAAGACAGTGTGTCTCTTGGACCCAGCGACGGGCGCACTCACACAGACTCTCAATGGCCATTCGGGCCTGGTTAGGTCCGTGGCCTTCTCACCTGATAGCCGGCTACTAGCGTCCGGCTCGGATGATAAGACAGTGTGCCTCTGGGACCCAGCGACGGGCGCACTTACGCAAACTTGGAATATTGGAACCAAAGTCACCAAAGTGGAATTTTCTTCCGACGGGTTGTATCTACAAACCAACTCCGACGTACTTAATATTCAATCCAGGTGTGACATTCCTACTCCTTGCCCACCTCATCTGCTTCATCCGAACATCGGTATTTCTATTGAGCATGGGAATTGGATAAAATTGAACGGTGAAAGGGTTCTCTGGCTTCCTGTTGAGTCACGACCCAGCTGTTTCGAGGTGTACGGTGATACACTTGCCCTGGGACACGCATCAGGGCGGATTATCTTTATCAGGTTTTGTATTCAGATTTAAACGATTTTGATTTCCTGTTTTTTCCTCTATGTTCTGATCTCTTAATAAAGAAGGGCCTGGGAGACGAGAGAGTGTATACGGCTTCATCCCTCTCATAGAATATTCCATCCTGCTTCTGCCAGATCGCCTAGGAAACCACCCGAGGCCGCCATTCCGCATGATTTGCAGACTCACCATTGACTTCCAAGGAATTCCAATAAATTCTCTTCCGGATGGTGTAATATTACAAAGTTATTCAAGTATGCGCATTTTACGGTGTCACTCGATTAAATGCCGCCTGCTCAATAAATGATATGCGCCAAAGCTTTGGCGGTCGGGCCAGGACACAGTGATTGAGTGTGTATTGGTCAAAGCGATTTCGAGAATCCTAGTAGATGTTTCTTTGTAGAGGACCAATCAATGTCCGTCCCATCAAATCTTAGGAAGAGCCCACTATGCCGCGTGGCCGATACGACAACAGAGGTGTTATCCGATTCGAGTTTCCGCTGTGGGTATTTTCGAATAAGCAGTTCCTTTAGCTTCTGCTGCAAAAAGAGTCGCTAGTGAAACCGAGAAGCTAGAACTAGATCTTGTTCCGTATCTTTCGCCACCGTTCTGTTATTGAGAGTGGCCTTCCATTCAATCAGGTAGTGAATACAGGTTGGTGGATCCTCATCATACGTCCGACCTTCCTCCCGGTCACCGAATTAGAGTAAGAAAAGGCTATTCGTTTGCGAAGCAGTTCGTTGCTGAGAGTCCTGATCGATGGGGGAGGCAGGGACGACGTTCGTACAGCTTATATTTGAAGGAGAGGCAGGAGAACGATCGGAGTTGCTAGGTGTCGGTGTATATTGCCATGCATCGTTGCATAGGTCAAAGGGATCGTTTTGTTGAACATCGTAATCATCATAGCGAATGAACGGACTGGACCTTATATTCATGGGCTAAGTGTAGCGACAGACTTACGGTTAGTAATTATTAGTTGAGGCCTACGCCATCGGCTGCCGAAAAGGCCGTAGTTCGCCCGTAAACGACAGAACCTGTCGTTAACAGGGATTTGCCGATGAAATCAGTCGTTTGACTGGATGATCCTTAAGCCAAGAGACACCTGTTAGGAGTGACGACTAGCAAAGGGGATGCATACCAGGTATCCTAAAAGGAAAGTTGGGACACCTTTAGGAGGGGGGGAAGGCACCTCGTCGGCTCACTCTGACTGTCAGAGATCCACTCTGGGGTTCCAGAGAAATTGACCAAATTCTCATGAGACCAGTGTATTGTTACCTCGCTAGATACCGTATCATACCAGGTGCAATTTACGGTAGCCCCCGACCAAGTGTGGTCTGCTCAATAAATGATCTGCGCTAAGGCCTTGGCAGTGGGGCCGAGAAAGAGAGTCTCAGTGTGTACTGGTCAGGCCGATTTCGAGAATGACTATACGTACAGTGATATGTAGTTGTTGTATGCTGCATATCGTTCGCGAAGTTGGATCCCAGGTTAGGTGATGTAGTGGCTGCCTATTTAGGCTGCCACCACCACTCTAGGCAGAAGGCAGCTACTATGACTACAAATAGCTGCATCTACTCTCATAGCTAGCGAAAGAATATCACACTTGTACTTCAATCCAGGGTTTCAACTCGCGAGGGGTCAGCGTAAATGAAATCATCCATCCATCCATCCGACTGTACTGTAGCATTCGACATGTATGCCGCTATGTTTAGTTGATGTACCACTCGACGCCTGGAATACGACCAGCATCGAGAGAGCCAACTAGTGCCTGAAAGAATGCACGAGACAGGTCGACAGATTTATTGTCACAGCCAACACTAGGACACTTGTCGACGACAATGCCGGTCTTTGTGACATCGTGGTAGGTGATGGTAACAGACTTGCCACATTCAGAATTGGTCATGATGCCCTGGGGTAAGGCAAGGACAAGCTCAGTCAGGCCATCGTTGGTCGTTCCGCAGGAGCTGGGATTGGAAGTGGTGTTCGCAGTATCATAGTAGGTAATATCACCAATGCACGGAGAGATCTTGGAGCAAGCGCCATTGTAACCAGAGCTTGCGGTGGAGCTGGAGCTAGTGAATGAGGTGGCAGCAGGAGCAGACAAGATTGAACTAAGCTCAGTAGCAGGCTGCACAACGAGTGTAGAACCTGTGGTGGTAGCATGCATAGTAGCACTGACGTGGGTGGACAGTGCAACCCATTCTTCCTGCGGCATTCGACCAGTAGCAGTAGGGGTAGCCTCGACAGCGGTAGTTCTCACCATCGAGAGGACCGTGCTAAAGGCTTGGCCGGGATATCGGGTGGTGGTTACGTCAAATCTTTCTAAGGCAATTTCAGCGACGGTCTCCCATACGGCAGTGCACCTGTTGAGGGGAGCAGCGAAGCCAGGGGCGACTAGTAGTGGACTAGTAAAAGCCAATTCCTTTATGACTGGAACCATTATAATCATTTGTGGACAATTGAGCCAGTTTGGTAAGACAGGTAGTTGATACTTGGAGTTTTATGATAGAAGAACACCTTAAAGAATGACCTTAAATAGCACCCAGAAGGTGCCTGAGTGTAGTGAGTGAAGAGGGAGGCAGGTAGCAATCCGCCTTCCTGGAGGGAAGACCAGGAAGATGTTAGAAGTAATAAGTCAAGAAGAATACTGTACTGTACAGTACAGTCATTCTCGAAATCGGCTTGACCAGTACACTCTTTGACTATCTTTCTTGACCCCACTGCCAAGCTTTTAGCGCGGATCATTTATTGGGCCCGCAAACATTAAGTTGCGGCCCAACGTTGCCCCGGCTCCGTAGTTCAGCAACGTTTAAATCGCGGGGACCTCAAGTGAATGAGTCCAGTCAAATATAAAATAAGCGCTAAAGGCTTGGCAGTGGGGTCAAGAAAGATGGTTAAAGAGTGTACTGGTCAAGCCGATTTCAAGAACGACTGTATAGCCTTGAAGACAATCGCACTCAAATGGAGCCTCAGAAAGACACCAGTGGCCAAATCTATCCCAAAAAGTACTTCATATTAGTGACCTTCCACCTCGGGGAAGAAGCTTTACTGTGTCAAATTTCATCACACGAACGTGGCAATCCAAAAGTCACTCCAAAATCTAACCAGAATGAGACATACTTGGAGATTAGCGACGTGTACATAGTTTAACCACCTTCTTCTCCGTTGAATTCAAAGCCGTACACCCAAAGAGGTTTCAGCCACGGTGTAATTGTGCTGCTGGACAGTTGGAGTCAAGGAATAAGCTGATTGAAAGAGACAAACCTCATTGAATTAAGTCAGTTAACTTCGCTGTAGATTGGTGTGTTTTCGTGGTAGTTAAACTGATATATCTACGATTTCAGGATCAAAGCGATGCCATCAATTTCGTGGAAATAGAATAAACGTTAGTGTGCGCTTACAAATGTTCCACCTTCACTTTAACCTGGAAAGTTCTCCATCATTATCGTACTGTTAGACTTCAGCATGACTCCTGCGGACCCTGACAGAGACCCTCCCATGTTCACTTGAACATGAGGTTACGGTCGAAGCCTCCAACATCAAAAGATAGTTGAGCTTAGTTAGAATGTAATGAACGAAATATTCGTACGAGCTAGTAAGTCGAATGCGAGGACTCTACACATGCACTCTACCGCGGCAACAACAGCCGGCTGTTGTTACCGTAACAGGTAGATTGCAACATGACCATGGCACAGCGCCATTCTCTGATGCAACAAAGGTGTTGATAAAAGTTTGATATATGATGTGAAGATCACACATCACTGGAGTGTGGGGACGTTTAGTTTATCCTGAAACACCACATCTAATTGCAGGTACCAAACTGGAGTAAAGCTCGGACTCGGTACTTCATTCTCTATGCCAAATCGAATCGAAACGGGGTCTCGATAATCTAACCAAGTCATATTTCTACATTTATACCGGGTTTCGATGTACCAAACGTTACCCTACAGTATGTCGTAGGGAATATGTAACACTGGAAAAGCTAGGTAATAATCCGTGAATCTCGGAGCGGTGTGCTTGGCGTTGTTGTATTTCCCTAAACGGATAGCAATTCAAGTTGGTTGAATTCCCTCATATAAATGTGCCTCATAGGCATACGGCTTTGACGCAACGTAATATTTGTTGGTTTTGTATGATGGATGGGTAGCAAGAACACAGAGGATGTGGATTGCTTTCTCTGCGAGTGGCATATAAAATGTTGGATGGTGCGCCGACAGGCCCGATAAGCCTGCTTCTTTTTCAAGATTAATTAGGCCAGGGAACCTCAACCCCACAGACGATGCTTTTCAAATTCGTATTTGGCATTCTTTGCTCTAGCAGCTTGGTAGCCGCTCATATGGAAATGAGCTGGCCATATCCTTTGCGCAGCCGGTTCGACCCCATCAGCAATCCTTCTCTCATTGACTATTCAATGACTAGCCCCCTGGACCCACATGGTTCGACTTATAGAACCATGCTTTCAGTTTCGGCACTGTCTAACGAATGCGCATAGGCTCCAATTTTCCCTGCAAAAGCTACCAGAAGAACTCTCCCTGGCGCGCAACAGTCGGATACACTGCGGGCAATACCTACAACATCACACTGTCCGGCTCCGCAACCCATGGCGGAGGCTCCTGCCAACTCTCCTTGAGCTATGATAACGGCACGACTTTTAAGGTGATCCAGTCCATGGAGGGCGGATGCCCTCTGCAATCTAAATACAACTTCAAGATGCCCGAAGACGTGGCGGATGGCGATGCCCTCTTTGCATGGTCATGGTTTAATCTAATCGGAAATCGAGAGATGTACATGAATTGCGCAGATGTCGTTATAAGTGGCGGCACCGGAACTGTGATGGCATTTGAGAATAAGTACCCGGATATGTTCGTCGCCAATGTTGGCAATAATTGCTCAACTGTCGAGAATCAGCAGACAGTTTTTGCCGATCCCGGGGCGCAGGTTATCTATGGGGCTGGGGTAGCGCCGTCTTCGCCTCCTTTCCCCGACTGCTCTTGAGATTCGCGTTGAAGTGAATACGGATCGAAAGTCTCTTTTGTGTATATTGGGGAGTTTTTTATGGAAGGCCAGATCCCATTCCTCATTACGGCTACGCCGTAGTGCTTATCGCTCTGCCATTCTGCACCTTAGACGGTAGTGGTCAATGCTGGAAAGAGATAGTCAACGTACCAGGGAAATGCCGTGGCATATGGTACTGTAAGCTAGTTAGATAGGGGATTGTGTTCTGAAAGCGCGAGGAATATGACACGACCTAATAAACAACCGATTGCCACCGTTGCTGCAGATATACCAAAAGAAGAAAGGCTGGATGGCCGATATTCTGGAGGCAATCACAACAGGTTTGATCTATTAAAGGTTATCCAGGAAGAGCCGTCACTTAAGCCAAACCCGTATATTCCCGGCAAGGCCAAACCACTGGCGCTGGGCCCAACAAGCTCATGGACCCAAATTCAAGGTACCAATTATTGAGTGAAGGTGGGTGGGCGTGCTTTTATCAAATTGGATGTGAATGGAGTAAATATCTGGACACGCACTGGCCAGTGGCCGGATCCCAGATTCTAACGGTTTTATCATCCGACGCTGATGCACTTGCTTCTATGGAATGCAAGTGCGCGAAATAGAAGCCTAGAACTCCATAGTTAGTGATGGTGTAATTACAAAATTAGCCAACTCATTACGAAATATTGAAATTTCACTTTTTTTTCTCGTTTCAATTACATTTCAAGGGGCTGGGGTTGCTGAGTAATCAAATCTGCAGCCAATGACTAACGTAATCCACGGCCGACCGGATCACACGGCCGACCGGATCACCCCTTCTAAATTCGCGTCTTTCTACCAACCTGATTAATTCAACCACCTACCATGCCACCAATTCGCAGTGAATCTAGCCATAAATTGGCCAACCAAGAGGGCAAGATCCTATTGGCCCTTTCTGATTTAAAAGAGGGCCGTATCTCTTCTATCCGCGCAGCAGCAAAGCTATATGAGATACCCTACACTACCCTACATACGCGCGCCGATGGCCGCGTCTTACGCGTTGATAAGCGCCTATCTGGTCATAAATTGACCCAAACCGAAGAGGATGCGCTTGCTGAGTGGATATTATCTATGGATTCACGTGGAGCAGCGCCTAGACCGGCTACTGTGGGAGAAATGGCTAATATCCTGCTTACTACGCGCGGTAGTAACCCTCCGCCTACTGTTAGTGTTAATTGGCCATTAAGCTTTATTAAACGCCGCGATAAGCTTCGATCTCGCTTCTCGCGAAGATATGATTACCAAAGAGCCCTAAACGAAGATCCGAAATCGATTCGGCAGTGGTTTACGACCGTACAGCGCACAATCGATGATAAGGGTATACAACCGGAGGATATCTACAACTTTAATAAGATAGGCTTTATAATAGGCCTTATATCTTCGCAGAAAGTGGTTATAAGAGCTAAATACTACGGTCGGCCACGTTTTCTATAACTAGGAAATCGCGAATAGGTTACTGCGATCGAAGCAATCTGCGTAGATAGCTATTCACTACCGCTATATATAGTCTTTAAAGGCAAAGTGGCTATTGTAGGATGGTTTAACGAAAATCTACCGAAAGACTAGCGAATCGAGGTCTCTACTAACGGTTAGACTACCTATGAGATTGGCCTACGCTGGTTACAAAAGATCTTTATACTATATACGAATTCGCGCGTACGAGGTCGGTTTCGGCTATTAATTCTTAATGGTTATGGTAGCTACCTTACACCCCAATTCGACCGAATCTACACAGAAAACGATATTATACCTCTTTGTATACCTACGCATTTATCGCATCTACTATAACCACTAGATGTTGGGTGTTTTGTAGTGGTTAAGCGCGCGTACGGTCGCTTCGTTAGCGATCTTGCGCGTAGAGGATATAACCATATCGATAAGCACGATTTCTTAGTGGATTACTAGCACGCGCGGCTAGAAGCGTTCTAATTAACTAATTTTACTATCAAAAATAGCTTCGTAGCTAGCGGTCTAGTACTATTAGATGCTAAGAGAGTACTTAATAAGCTTAATATCTCTCTACGAACTCCAACACCACTAAACAGCCGGCTAAGCAGTAGATCTAGCGAATTCACACTATAAACGCCTAGAACCGCTACTTAGCTATTTAAGTAAGCTTCTATATTAAAAGATCTACTAAAACGGCGGTTAAATAGCCCTCCGAGCCTATCAAAGGAGATCCTAGACCAGATAATTAAGGGGTTCCAGCTAGCGCTTCATAGTAGTGCACTACTAGCAGAGGATAACGCGAATTTACGCATGGCGAATAAGAAGATGGTCAAAAAGCGCAATCGGTCAACTAAGAAGATACCCTACGAAGAGGGTTTAACCATTGAAGAGGCTATACAGCTAGCTACGCAGCTAAACCAGCCAGAGGAAGATGATGGGGTAGATTCGCATGCAGAGGTCGAATTGCCTAGTCAGCCAACTAGGCCAGCAGCTAGGGCTCCGCCTAGGTGTAGTGGATGCAGGGAGATTGGCCACAGGATTAATGTATGTAAAAATCGCTATATCTAATTGAATTGATAGGTGTTGGTTGAGATAATCGATTTTGAAATATTCTTATGGGGGTAGGTGATCCGGTCGGCCGTGTGATCCGGTCGGCCGTGTGATCCGGTCGGCCGTGGATTACGTTAACTAACGTATTGCACAAACGAGCCGTACACCCAAGCGAGCCGTACACCCCCGAACACCATAGTAAATGCGATTTTTCAGGCCCTTAGATATCAACAACGCAAGGTTTATTTTGCTTTATCTTTGACGACGTAGATCTTTTTAGTATAACTAACAGACTAGATTAATTGAAATTTATTATAAATGATTACATACATACATTACCAAAAAATACGCGGGCGGCGACCGACGAAGATATGTATACTAACAGTACGTGGCAATTATATATAACTACGTATGATAGATCTATACGTATTCATAAATTAAATCGGATGACATCTAAAGACTCAACAATAAGTCTCGGGTGTTGAAATATCAAGTTATGAAAAATCGCATTTACTATGGTGTCTACAGTACTTTGGGACTAACTATGTAGAGCTTATTATTAGTGGGCAACTTCCCGGGTAATAGTTCGGTCGCGCCGAGATATTTTACCAGGAGTCGGCCTGTCCTTTTCAGACAAGGTTCGCACAACCCAGATAGTTCTGTCCATTACCACTCCCTTTGTTCATGAGGCCCAACATGCACGAGGTAGGGTTCCCATCATGGATGCTGTTAATACTACAAACATTGACAATGCTAAACGAACTTTTGTATGCCGACGAACACTTGGAACTAAGATTTTTTTGAACGAACATTATTCTAAACAAATTCTATTCTAAATATTATCCTAAACAAACAGTAACTTAAAACGAACACTGCCTTAATGAACCAGGTATCTTAGAATTGCTTTTGGCATTTGGGTGAACCTACCAGTGGTCAAAACGAGTCTGCAAAAAATGAATATTGTATATCTTCATTGGTTCATTCGCTCTGCCTATGGGCCAGGGAATATTGTTATAAACGCAATTGAACAGATAGATTTTGATGAATGATTCATGGGTGTAAATAACATGATCAAACAGAAGACAAAACTTTGAGTTACTTAAATAGAATAGCCAGGTTTGAACAGGTTTGAGTTGAACAGGGAAACTCAAGCAACTCATTGAATGTGTAGCCACACAGTTAGGTAGGCGTATATTTTGCCTATACTGGTAACCGTCCTGTCGTTCCGCTATCATTATTTCCCACCTTCGAGTATTCTATGCTATCGAGGACTCATTAGTTATTTATCCAAAATACGAATCCGTCCTATCCAGTGGACTGTGGCTTATAATACTCATTGCTAGAGTCACGCTAAACACACACCCCCCACCCACCCAACGCCGTTGAGCAAGCGGTGAAAAAAAATACTTAGATATGACTAGCGCTAGTACCCGGGGAATGCCCGTTTGAGTGCGCCTTGTCGCCTCGGCCCTCAAAGGCTTCATGACCGATTGGCATACATCGTGTTGAGTTGAACGGATTAAAAATGTGCTTCACCCTGCAGTGGCACCCAACAGTTTGGGCCGAGTTTAATGATCATCGCGACTAGTCTAGTTCAAAATTATAATTGCGTGAAACGGCGCCAGACAGGTCCCATGACATAGAAATAACGAATGACATCAAGCCCTCAATGTGCACAACGGCGCTTTCACGACCTACTTTGGTTTCTGTTCAAACGCCGAAAATGATATGGTTCCGGGCGGATTCCACGGCTGCCCAGGTGGATTTGACAAAAGCCGTCCTGTATATTGTGGGTGGAGCCGTCCATGTCGTTTTTGTGCTGGTTACCAGCTTTCAGTCCCAAAGACGTAGTTACGCTTCGTCGGATGACGGGATGTATCATACAAACAGAAACATAGGCAATACCATGCAGTACATTCGAAGTTACAGAATCGGTTTAATAACACTAGTGTGGCGGCGTAGCCCCTGTAAAGGACTGGTAAGTCCATTACTCGTGGACAAATCGGCCGTAATTGTAATGAACCCGTCAACCATCCTCCAAGGCATGCTGGCGAGGATGTTCCAGAGTTCTATAAATTCTATGACCGCAATCTTTCTACAGAATTGTAGATTAACGAACGCACAGGAGAATGATGACAAAATGTCTCAGTTTGTATTTATGATACCAGGTGATTCGGCTCCCGTCCTTTTTCAAGCCAGATTTTAATAACCCACGTCACGGGCAAACGTACCCTTATGCTCACGTCGTTATGGAAAGTCGGATAATCCGGCAGATCGAAAAGTCTTGCTAAGATACTGCATGTACACTTTCGGAGGGAAGATGATTGTTCCTGACACGGCAGGCAAGAATAGCTCGTTCTCTAGCTGCAGCAGAAAGCTGGCAAAAATGTTAAGGCCCACATTGCAGAAGCTTCTAAATTTATCTCTTTCTAATGCTTCGTGACCTAGTGCATCTTTCAAATGGCTTCAATTCCCCCCAGACCTGTCGCAAGAAATCTGTGTCGAGATGAGCGAACTGAGGTCCGACCTGTCTTAGAGTCATTTTCTCGCCCTTAAGCGCGAGCAACTTTCTTCTATCCCTAGCATTGAGCCTTCGGTGCAAGTTGTTGAAACCCGATTCCTGCATGAGATGCGATAGCGACCTTGCGTTTCCTCTAGAAACTTGAGTGGGGTCTTCATAGTTTCGATCTGGGCCGTATTCCTTTGATTCCAGGGCCTTCTTATTCCCGCTCTCTGCCGTCTTATCAGCTTGATGGTCGATAGGAGCGGGAATTGTGCATTCCTCCTGTGCAGCACTGACTTCACCACCAATCCTATTTTCAGCGCAGCCCTCATCCTCCTTACTGCTAGTGGGTTGAGGAGGCAACGCCGGCTGTAAATAATAAGAGAGTGAAAGCGACGGTGGCTTTTCCGTGACCTGATCGGAAGACTGAGGTTCATTCTTATTGAAACTGTGTGCACTGAGAATTCTCGGATCAATAACCTCGAGGCCCTGGGAGACTGATCGTGAGCTGAGAGACGAAGTTTCTCGAGAGAAACAAGATGCCACTGAGGTGGTTCTGCTGGTCGAGGTTTCGTCGATCCTTGAATGACGGTATTCTTCGGGATTCTCCATGATAAACCCATTGACCGATAGGGCGGGAACGAGAACATTGTTTGAAAGTTGATGCCCGTTTTCTTGTCGCAGCGGGATGTAATGGGAGAAGCGCGCTTTCTTAAGGCACTCCTCTCTTGTGTACATAGGAAAGTCTTGCGATTCATTATCGCAGGCGCGTTTTCTTTTTCGCGGTGGCTTTGGATTTCGCCAAATTGCATCCTTAAGCCCGTGAGTATCGTGCAAGTGGTGTCGAATTTCGCGTTCATTCTGAAACGTTTGAGAGCATCCACAAACAGGCTCTATCGTTGGCCAGAGAAGTTTAGGCAAATGCTGGCTTTCAATATGTTCCTTCAAATGGCCATTTCGTGACCAGTATTGCAGCCGTTCTTCGGCCGGCTGATTAATATCCCACAAACAGAAAGGGCAGTAGGCGGGGCGGATGATGGTATGGCGATACCTGATGGCTTCGCAGTGCAGGGTCCGCCATGACTCGAGATGAACAGCACAATGGTCGCGCCATTGGGGTGAGAGAAACCATTCCATACACTCGTAACAGAAATGTAGCCGCGACTCAGGTACGTTGAGTTCAGTAGCTTTTTCCTGCCGAATGCAATTGTGAATATGGGCGCTTCTTGCCGATTTTGATAAGCTGTGTCGATCCGAATTAGCTGCTGTGTCGTTGTTGTGGAGGCCGACTTACATTTCAATACCAAGCTGGCAGCGTTTCACGGGGCAATGACCATCAATTGGCTGTTCGTTCGGAAGATATGTTACATCTTCGTTCCGAGAGCATAGAGTCTGGATATCTTCCACATAGTGAAGCTTCTCTTCGAAGGTCAGTTCAGGGGTACCAGACATGGCGTGTGCGATTCGTGCAAGCTCCGGCATTATCAAGTATTGGGCACGTGTGCAAATATCTTTCATCACTTCGATAGGTTCCCCCTTCCGACGGTTAAGGATGTCTTGATCTCTTTTCGCCTTTACCCATGAGTCTTGATAGGTTTTGAGCGCAATTCGCCGTTGGCGCACCAGTGCCTCTCTATATTGCAGCTTCCCAACCATGAGGCCCTCCTCATCACCGACTTTTTCCAAGAGCTCAACACGGTTTTGGATCTCAGTGATCTCTGGTAGCTTCAATATACTTTCCTTTATGTGGGCAGGCAGTTCGACCGGCATCCCGGGTTCGCAAAATTGGCTATACCCTTGAAAGTAGGCGATGTGCTTTGTTTGTGCTTTCTCATCCAAGATAGCAGAGACTGTGTCAATAGAGGAGCAGTGTGCTTGGTAATGCTCTGGAAACGTGTTTGGGTCTTTCTGAGCTAGAATTTGGGAGACTGGCGCAGAGCCATAACTTTCTATATGAAGCGTCAGGAACTCGGCTGTCCTCAGTCTCAATTGTTATTAAATGGCTTACTTTCGACTTCTTTGGCAAGGTTTCGTCGTAAGCAATGTATTGTTGGATGCTCACTATACCCTGCAGCATCAAATATTTGGTGTAGGTAGGCAGAGAAATCTTTGCTCGTGAGAGGAATATCCTGTGGTCCACTGGCCGTCACATTCGTGAACAGTGGCTTTTCCATAAAGCTTTTTTTCCATCGTAGTGGAATTTCTCCATTAGACAGATCATATTTTACTAAGTCCTCTTTGGTCTCGATCCCGAAGAGAGCACCTCTTACTAATGCAAGGCCAAGCAGAAGGTCACCAGAGGCAAATTGTGGTCGTTTACTATCCCTGATTCCGATTCCAAACCTATGTAAAGTCAGTATATATCATAGGAAGTGGATATTCCAAGTCATACACTGTATAATCGGAGTCTCGGTTATTCTTAAGCCACTTCTGATTGACTTTCCATCCAGTTTCCCATAGGGCTGTCGTTGATGGAAAAAGAACCAATTCAATATGCTAGAACTGGGAATTAGAATAGGATAATTATTTATATTTTGTCAACTTACCTCGTATCGAAGACCTCTTTCTTGCTTATTCTCATCGGAAGGCATGAACGATCCAACTCTTGCTCCTGTAAAGAGATACAACTGAAGTGCGAATAGTATGAGAGCTTTGAGCCCTCTAGGAATAAACTTTTTATGATCAACCCGCCACATCGAGGAGACAACTTTCATAAAGTCTTCCTTTGTAAAGTTGTACTTTTGCTTTTTTTTATTCACCACTTTGCCGTCTTTGGTTAAGGTATTTTTGATCCACTACATCGAAAAGGGTTAGTGTTGCCGAAAACGTGAGACGACTAAGGACTTACACTGTATACTTCTTTCCTGTCTGTTTCAGAGATCTCTGTACCGGTAGACTCTTTAAACCCACCGAAAAAACGCTCCGCCCACGCTTTAGCTGTTCTCACTATTGGTTTCCCGCTCTTGCAGAGTCTGCCACTGGTAGAATTCGCATACCACCGAATGAACTCTTTTACTATTTCATGGCTTAGAGGCAAGCAACCTACAACAGTTTCATAATCATCAAATCCGTTTTCTGGGTCTGCAGTGAAGCTAAGAAATGATCAGCTCCGCCATCAATCAATCTTTCCTGTCCGGATTTCAAACTCACTTAAGCCAGAGACTCAAAGTTTGTTAGTGTAACCTTTTAGTCCTTGGAAGTTTTCTATCCTTGTCTCGAACAGCATCTTCCTCCTTGTGGGCTCCGGGGATATAACCATTTCTCTGCCGTAAGAAACGGCGTCGTTCTTTGGCCTTCTCATCACGCTTGGAGAAAAAGTCTTTTCGACCCATAGCCAGATATTGATTAATACCTGATCAAAGGTGAAGAGACAGCCTTTTGGAAGCAGTTGTCTGTAGATTCAAATAATGAATGGATGCTTCTCTTAATGAGACCGAGGGGGGAACGAAACCTCTTTTTATATTTTTGGTCACTGGAGACGACACGTGATAGTGTAAAGATAGCTTTAAACTGCATAATCTTGAACACAAAGGCCTGCCTCACTTTTGGTGTTGGGGGTAAATGACGCGGTTTTTTGATTCAATGGAGACTTCCAGAAAGTGGAAGGCCTTACAAGGACCATTGATGCGCTAGTTATCACAAAATAGATAACCCTGTGGGGCATGACCATTTTTGGTATAGTCTAATTTAGGCTGGAAGAAAAGAATACAGCTTGCTGACTGGACAATGGGTGCTTGTGAGTAAGCAGTGGCTGAGTGATCATGGACCGTTCACTGAGCGGTCACTGAGCAATCACTGAGCAGCAACCGATGATCACTGAGCATCCATGATTGGTCACTGAGCAATCACATGACTGCACTGACCAGATCACTGACCATGAGCCCATGCTGACATTTACTCAGTGAGCCTGAGCCTGATCGCCCTCATTAAAGCGGCGGCAGCCCAGACAGGAAAGTCCCACCCGGCGGACATTATCCTGTGTATATAGGCGCATATATACTGGAAAAGTTCCGGCACAACGGACTACTCGATTGGGTAACCACGTGACCAATCCCATCGGAGGATGGGGCGCATCCCACCATGGGATAGGGCACATCCTACGACAGGACGGGACGACTCATCGCCGGATAGGAAGGACTGGATATATAAGGACATTCATTTGGCATCATGTATTTAGTTCTTCGCGATCAATTTACACATTGTTACTTGGTTACTACCTTTAGTACTTTGCACTTCACAGTTCACCTTTAAGACAACCCAACCTACAAGTAGGGGATTCACTTAGTAGCAATACTTAGTGATTGACTTACTTGGCGCGCACTTCTGGCACGTTCTGCAAGATACTCAACAGGATCTATCCCGCAGTAAGGCCTTGCGAGGCAACGGTACGATTGAGAGATATTCTTGGAATTCGAAGTTGTGCCGAGAGGGCTGGAATCAGCCGTGACAGCACGTATCGTTATTGTACCCGATTACAACAACGACTTAGGTAACTATCGCCCTTTCTGCACTTACTCACAGTGACCAGTCGGCTACGCGTAATAATTAAATGGGATGGATCATCAATTTATATAGCCGAAAAGGGAAGGTCTTGGTAGAATTATGCAATTGCGGTTTACCGTGGTGAAGACCGTAAGGGACCGCGGTTCACTATAGTGCGGTCTCAACCCCCGAATTCGAGACCGTAAGACCGTGCGGTCCGGTCCGCGGTCCTCGACCTGAGGACCAAGACCGCACCATGCAGAGGCCTACCTTCGGATAATAATTAGGTATAAATGATCCCGAATATCACGTATATTTCTCGAGGCCTGGTTAACAAGAACTTGGTCTTTATGGAAGATGATCTCTTCCGTAAGGATGAGCTTACACCTATGAGGGATTAATATCTTCGATGGCGAGAAATCCATGACCGAGACCTTATCTCAACTTCCGTCTGGGATCGACTTTTAGTAGCCCTGCGGGCACTTGAAGCTCTTCGGAATGAGGAGATAGGGTCGATTTCTCTGGAGATGATATATCTTTTCCTATTCTATCAATTTCGGCGACTCAAAATCAGCAAAGAGATCACGTCTTCTAAAAGAGACAGACTGTATGAGGCAATTTTGGAGTCGCTATATCCTGGATAATGGGAGAATATGAAAGAGATTATCCGGCGACGTCATTGTTACAGGCTCACGGGGTAAATGAAGATTGGAAGGCGGTGGTCCTTTGTCGTCGATCGCTTGTCGTATGGAGTAATTCTTCTCGTAGGGAAAAAGATTTCCACTGTTATGTAAGTAAAAGCTTTCCCTTTCCATGGTAAAGTACGGGCAGTAGCTGAAATATCTATTAGCTATAGGCACGACGTTCCGTGGAAAAAGCTGGAATCTCTCCTAACTTATATTATAAAAAACTATCCGATAGCTCTCTGTATATATAATGAGGCTAATAGATTTGCTAATAATTCGCTGGTAAATCAATCTTAACCTCTTATGGGAGCAGTAGGGGAGCTAAGTGAACTTGAGTCGCTCCTTGACCAAGGATAGAAGTTGGGGAGTCAGGAAGCAATCACAAATAATGTAAGTTTGGATTGAGGAGTATTCCCCCGGGCTGAAAAAAGGCCGTGAGCAGCAAATGCACTATCTTGTACGCCTCTTTCATTTTGTGGTGCATTGATGTATTATTAAAAAGTGGAATATTAATAGATGGCCGGATGGTGTAGTTGGTTATCACGTGTCGTTAACACCGACAAGGTCCTGGGATCGAACCCCAGTCTGGTCACTTTTTTTTTTTTTTTTTTTTTCTCTCTAAACCTTATTGCTCTATTACTCCGTCCATACTTTATTACTCCGTATAGTATGCCAGACACGGGTGCAGCGCGAGGGTGCATACTCTGCCGAGACGGCCGTGATAGTGGCGAATGACCTTGTTCGTTCCCAGGACACGAAACTTTGGCGGCGGAAAAACAGAACAGCACCCAGTCTCCACATTTCGTTCTTTGTCTATAGCAAATAAAGAATAGCTTCGGGCCAATGTAGTAGAATAATTTAAAAGCCAGCAAATTTCCCCCTATACTGTCTCCTTAGTATTCTTATAGACTCTCTAGGATTCCTCTTTGGTTTCACTCCACCCTACGTCTTTCTTAAGTTGATTTCTCCCCTTCTCCGCCCTGGACTATGGCGAAGGCTAAGACCCTGCGTAAGCTCCTGCCCAAGGCCACCCTAAAAGGAAATGAAAGTCATGACGTCCTTGCTGAAGGCAATTCATCCAACCCGCAGCGATGCAGGATATCTTCCGCTTGCTTGAATTGTCAAAAGAAAAGAATCAAGGTCGGAGACTCTTGCGGTACTCTACGAATACCCAATATGTTAGTGACTTGTCTAATACAGTGTTCCGGTGGGATTCCATGCGAAAATTGCAGAGCCAAGTCATACCAATGCATCTACGACTACCAAAGCGACCGTAGAAGGAGGGCTCATATTGCCGCGTTATCAGCCACTCATAATGCGCTTCTCTGAATGATTGTTGCCCTTCGGTCTGGAACCAGAGAAGACGTCTTACGGTTGATTCGGCGACTTCGAAAATTGACAACAGATGAGACCGCCATCCAAGCTGCTACTAGTGGGGAATTGTTTGATTATACGCTGGAAAGCCAGGTATTCTCGCTGTGAATGGTGGGGCATAGAGGACCTTTATCATGTCTCCTAGATTACTAGCAAATAACTGCATATTATTTGCATCTAAATGTCATGAAAAAATATCAAGAGCATAGAAGCTGGAAAGATCAGTTATAATAGACTGTTGACAATAAGATCTCTGACTAAATCACAAGATAAAGAGAACAAGAGACAAAGCAATTCAATCGTGAAAAAGGCGAAAAAGGCGAAAAAGAGGAAAGAACATCCACGATAATCATCCAGCGCAAGGCGAATGGCCAAGATTATCGATCAAGTTTGCCGTGTCCCGATGAACAAGGCGGACATGTGCATTGTATTTGTCCCTTCGTCCAAAAGTCTTCTTGCATTTTGGTGCGGGGCATTTGAGCGAGTTCGGCGCGAGGTGGGTCGATTGGATGTGTCGCCAGAGGCTGCTTTTGACCTCGAAGGTACCGTGTACAACTTCCCATTTGCACACAAAGGCTTCAGGTCGGCTCGAGCTAGAATGATGCCTTCGTGGAATATCAAATAGAGTTAGAGAATGATTTGGCATTAAAGGCCTAAATTGACTCACTTAATCATCTTCATCTTCTGGTCTTCCTAGGCTGGTTGCTCCTGGAGCCTTACATGATTGTCGACTATCGCTTTCCGAATTTGCCCAGTCGAGTGATTAACAGCTAAAGGACTAGCAGATCTACGCGGGGTCCCTGAGTCCCGGTATAGCCCAAATTGATCAATGACGAGGAGCTTTCGGTATTAAGGTAGTTGTTCTAGGCAGTACCATAGGTAACTATAGGGCTGTTCGCCGTCGGCCATATGAGACGAGGATCAGATTGAGCGGGTAAGGATGGCCATGTAAGCACTGGGTCAAATCGGAGCCATGGTTAGGCAGGGAAGGGATACAATAAAATCATAGACAGACTATTATCCTCATGAATTGGTAGAAGAGGTGATATATGTTCTACTAAGGGTGTAATGGCGGCACCCTAATCATGAAATTGCGATGCTATAGTCCTTAAGAGGAATTTGTATAGAAAACAAAATACGGTTGAGTTCAATGAAATAACAAATGTCTCGTCGAATGGAGCTGAGCTCAGGAAATTCCAAGTTAAGGAAAGAATCAAAAGGAGATATGTAGGACTGGGGGAAGTGTCATTTGAATATTCAAGAAGCTGACATTCTACGCATTAGTGACCCGGCACGCCGCTGCAGTCGCAGGACGCACAAAAAGGACCATCGATTTCGCCCTGATAATTTTTTTTTTTTTTTTTTTTTTCATTTTTTGGTTAAAAAAATTTTTAGGCCACCCCACTATGCAACTATAATTAATATGATTATAATATATGGACCACTTTATCTAGATGGAGGAGTTAGTTATTCTGTGATCATAGTGAATAAAGTTTTGGATCGAACTCTAGCACG